AGAATATCAGAAAGATGCTTACCTGTGCTTTATGGACTATGCAAAGACTTGATTGTGTGGATCATGACAAGCTATGGACAACATTGCGAAATATGAATATTCCGGAACACTTAATTGTACTCATGAGGAATGTGTACATGGACCAATAAAAAGCATTCTTATCAATGGAGAAAAGATTGAAGTTGTCAAGGACTTCATTCTTCTTGGATCAACTATCAACACTTATGGAAGCAACCGTCAAGAAATCAAAGGATGTATTGCATTAGGCAAATTTGCTGCACAAGACCTTTTTAAAGTGTTGAAGAGCAAAGATATCAGCTTGAGTACTAAGGTGTGTCTGACCCAAACCATGGTATTTTCAATAACCTCATATGCATATGAAAGCTGGACAACGAATAAGGAAGACCATAGAAGAATTGATGCATTTGAATTATGGTATTGGAAGAGAATATTGAAAGTGCCACGGGCTGACAAAAGAACCAATATATCCCTTTTGGAGGAAATGCAGCCAGAGTATTCTTTGGAGGCCAAGATGGCCAACCTTCATCTCTCATACTTTGGACATATTGTCAGGTGGGATCAGTCATTGGAGAAGGATATGATAGTTGGTAAGGTGGAGGGTCAGAGCAAAAGAGGAAGACCCCCCAATGAGATAGATTGGCCAAGTGGCAGCATCAATGGACTCAAGCATGGCAACAGTAGTGAGGTTGGCCCAGGATCGGGCAGTGTTTTGTTCTGTTGTGCGTAAGGATGCTATGGGTTGCTACCGACTCGATGGCATCTAACAACAACAACGTTTTAGAATTGATTTGATGGCACTTAACAACAACAACAATATATGCATGTGTATTTAAACAAACTCACGTATATGTGTATACAAGAAAGCTTCAAAAATTTCACGGAAAGGTCCATCATATCTCTCCACCACCCCCCCCCCCCCCGCTATCTTTTAATTCCATGTTTCCATGTACTGTTTGAAGCCTTTTTATATATGTATATTGAAACTTGGACATTTTAAACAATGTAATGTGACAACGTTGGGAACCTTTTTCCTCTCAACCCAGAATTTACTATGTTTTTGTTTGTTTATTTGTTTGCTTTCTGCTTGTTTTATTTAGTTACTTTTCTGAAGTGATTCTGTAAGGTCTTTTTTACCTTTGTTACATAGCAAATGATTCTTCTTCTGTTTCACTGACACAGCTCCTTCCAGTGACTTCTGGGTTGTTCCAGGAATATGTGCTTTTGTTTATCAGAATTATTATGGAACTGGAAAGTGCCCTATGGGAGAACGGTAATCTAGAACACAACAGAAATCATTGGTGCTACTGAGATTTAGCCATTTTTCTTCATAAATTGCTAAAACCTTTGCATAATTTCTAGAGTTCTGAGAAAGCCGATACAATTATCACCTGTTCTTTTTTTTCTTTCTTTCTTTCCTTTTTATGGAAGAGGAAAATTTTGAAGGTCTTTATGTAGCCATTTATGGAGTCATATGATTTATTGTATATTTTTTGCTCTCATAAAATGATCCTCCCAGCATTGTGCAACTAAAGCAAGATATAAATTGACATGGCAGAATTATTTGCAAGTTAACTAGTAATTAACTGGTGTGGTGCTGTAGGATAAACACTGAACCAAAAGTTGGTTTGAATCTCAAAGGTCAGTGGTTCCAATTAACCAGCCACTCCATGGAAATCCTATCAGTGTTGCTATGGGTCAGAACCAACTCAAGGACACTAAACAACAATGAGTCAGAACTAATTCAATGGCATGTAACAACAACAGTAATTAAGATGCATTGCTATTTGAGATTGTCATTTAAGAAGTAAAGTTCTGGAAAATAGATTTGGTTGTGTTGCCCTTGTTAGCTTAATGAATGTCTTTGAGACAAAAGTTATGGTTCAGAGGAAACAATTTAATCAATAGACAGACATTACCAACTTGAAAGGATTTGTATTTAAGACTCTCCACTCCTCTTTTTGATCTGAATTGAGTTATATTTCTGTCACAAATGAACACATTTTTCTCTTTAAAAGTTTTGACATTTTAACATTTGCTTCGGGCTTTAGACCATGTTGTAATGATCCATTCCCATGTATCCAGTGCTACAGTCTGATTGATTTTTTTTTTTTTTTAATGCCCTTGAAACTGATATGCCTCACTACTAAACTCTCCTTTTTTTGAGTTCCTTTGAGCCATTTGGTTACTCTGTACCATTCAGTAGGATTTATGTTTCTTTTTCTCATATTCAGCTCCATAAATCACATATAGCTTGGGAAATGGAAAAACTATGAGACTGGCTATCCAAGTTGTAGAAAGTGAGGTTGAAAATTCTACCTTTTCTCTTGTAGAGATGTAGGATGGTGAAATTCACTGCCAGATTTAGTAGAAGTAGGCCTTGAAATTTGATTCATGGTTTTTGTTCTTTCATATCTATGTATTTCCCTTTTTGTCATTAAACTTGGTTTATTTTGGGTTTTTACTCCAGCACTTACCTAAAAACCCTCTCATATTTAAGATTCTAAATAAAAGCATACTGTGTGTTCTTATTTTGAATTCCAAATCAATACTTTATAACAAGATTAACTTAAAGATCTCTTTTTTATTTGCTTTTATAGATGCAGTCATAGAATGAGAATTTATGAATTATTTAAATAAACTTGAATAAGTATGGTAGAGATTAATAAGAGACATATGATGTTGTATATATGTACATGTGTGTCTGTGTGGTCATGCATGTTCATCTTTATTGTATATTACTAGGCTGTTTCAGGAGTAAGAGGAAAGAATATTGAATATATATTTTTGTTATTAGTTCATAATTTGCTTCTCAATGGTTAGAAACTGAGTTAGTCCAAACTAATTTACTTTACTAAAGCCAATGCCAAAAGATTTCAGGCTGCTTCTGAATTTTAAACTTCTTTCTACTCTAACCTCAAGATTAATTTTTATTTAACTTTTGAAAAATTATAGAATAATTTATTGTGCTGTAACATGGTTTATACATGTAAAATACTCTGCTTAAATATTAAAACATTGTTTGTATGTACAAAGATAAATATTATTATAAATGCTATTTTATTTAATACCTGAATTTGTCAAGTCTGATTTTTAAGTCCAAAGTTTTTAATATGTATGATTAATTAAAATAATTTTATTGATGAATAAAAATATTTTTTCTGTACATGTCAGGGATACTTTTTATTAGTTGAATATTTGAAAACAATAATTAAAGGCCTGTTGAATGTTGTTACCATTTGTATTGCCAATCATATTATTTAAAATTTAATATATCCATATGGTGTATTATGCTTATTAGATTATGCACTGCTTAACATGCTTTACTGCTAGACTGTGAAGCAATAGAAAACTAATGATAGTCCACTTGTATCATCATGATACCAACTTTTCATCCAAATTATGTTTATGTAATAATTCTAGAGAGTTCCTTCCCAGAATAATTTGTTATTACAGTGATTTCGGTTTTGTCTCTACTAATAATAAACAGATACTAACTTTGCTATTTTCTGTTTAATTAGGGTGCAATTTTGGAACAGGAATAGGGAAGAAGAAGTTTCTTAGATTTCATAATCTTATTACTGATTCTTTCAATGTTGTGAAAATTTCATTTGATTTCCAATTTAGCTTTAAAATGCTACGGACTCACTCAGGTAGATACATTATCATAATCATCATCAGCATAATTTTTTCCATTTCTTTTTACAAACAGCAACAATTCAATCAAAGTTGCTCAAAATAATGGTTCTTAGATTGTACACTCTAACCCTTGGAAAGCATTGGAAGAAATCTGTGAAAGCCCTGGGAATGTTATACATTTATTTCAAAGGCTTCTAAGCAGTGAAAATCTGCTATCGTATTCTCTACTTGAGCAGGCAGGAAAGCATTGGCGCTCAGAGTTGTTTCACATAATCCTGGGACTATTTGGCCTGATTCACTAAACTTTTTCTGAATAAACCCGAAGCAAACTATTGTCTCCTTTGAATTCTTCGTTGAGTCACTTATTTTGGTAGGCAATCCACAGTATAATGTTATTTTCTGAATATTAGTTTCGCAGGATTGTAATTTTTAGCATTGTTAGCTGCCATTGACGTTGTCCCTTATTGATGGTGTTCCTCGCACAGTGGTTTGGATGATTGTGATTCAATAGAGCTGCCATTGGCTGAGTTTTGAAATTCATCACCAGGACTATTTTCCTAATATGTGTTAGTCTGGAAACTTCTGTTCATAATCACAACGGTTACAAATAGTAAACTGGATTGTGGAATGTAGCCCATGGTATGTTGCTGTTCTGACTCAGAGAGATATTAGACAGCATAGAACTGCTCCATTGGATTTCCTAGACTGTAATCCTCGTGTGGGAAAGTGTACTGGACCTTGAGGTTGGCAGTTCAAACTTGCCAGCCATTCCTTGGAAACCCTATACAGGGTTGCTATGAGTTGGAGCCAATACCATGACTCTCAACACCACCACCACCAACAATATTTATGGAAGCACAACTCCAGGACTTGCCTCCTACAAATGACTGGTTGTTTTCAGTTGCTGATATTTTTGGTAACAGTTGAGTGCTTAACTATCGTGCCACCCAGGCTCATTTTACATGATATCGGGATTATGGTGTTGTTGTTACGTGCCGTCGGGTCAGCTCTGACCTATAGCGACCCTGTATAGGGTTATGAAGGGGCAACTGATGAGCTTGAATTGCCAACCTTCCAGTTCCAGCTGATTTTGTAGTCCAGCGCATTAACCCCCAGAGCCATACCTGAACAACACAGGGATTATAATCCCAACTAATTACTTCACTGGGGAAAATAATGAAGTAAGTATATCAGACCATTTGCAAAAGCATTTGGAAAAAAGGAAAAAAAAAAAAAAAGCATTCGGATGGTTTTTAATAAAAATATATTGATGTAAAAATGTCTTTTAACACTTTTGCCAGCAATTCCACTGAATCTAACATGCTGACTGTTATTTTTAACAGCCCATTTCCTCTCATTGGTCTCCAAATTGGATTCTACTTCCTCAAACTTAAGAAGCAGAATTTTTCTTCCAACACAAAACCAAAATGCTTGTCAGGTATTTTAAAACACAATTTTAAAAAAATATATTTCACATTTTGGAAAATTTTTTATTATAATTATTTGAACGTTAATTGTTGTCTTCACAGATTAGATTTTATTACTTCGTTAGCCAAGTGAGTGGACAATTAATAGTTGGCCTTCAAACTGCCTCTGATAGTTCTATTCAGCCTTTGTGGCAAAATACAGCTGGGCTCAAAGATGAGTGGGAGAGAAAGGTTATCAAAATCCACAGCTCACAGAAATTTCAGGTAAGTGTATGTAATTCTCCTGGTTTGGTGCTGAACAACAAGGTTGATTTGTATGGAAAGACCAGTGGTTAAAACCTACCAACCACTCCTCAGAAACCCTATACTGGGTCACTATGAGTAGAAATTGAATTGATTGCCCTGAACAACAGCAGCATGCTTCTGAAACAAAATGGTAAAGATGCAGATTTTCACTACATAGTAAATTAATAATGGAGTGACTACCCATTCTGGAGGCATGGTAATGTAATGAGTTATGTATGAGTTATGCTACTAACCACAAGGTCAGAAATTCAAATCCACCAACTGTTTCATGATTTACAGCCTCAGAAACTCTATACAGGTCGCTGTACATCAGAACCGATTTAATGGCACAAAACCACCAACCACCCATTCCAGTTTCCTGAGAATACAGGAGTTTAGCATAATGCAAGAATGTCAAGCGATAAACTGACAACCCCTAACAAATCAGTATGGTTGGTAATCCTAAGAAACGCTTAAAAATAGATTTTGAAAAGAGAAAATGATTTTGAATTTTTATGTATCTAAAGTTGATGTACTTTAAGGTAAATTGATGTTCTTATAATATTTGATGATTCAACATTTGCTATTTGTAAATTATTGAGTATTAGTGAGCAAAGCCTTTTTCATTATCTTTGTGCCAAGGAGGATTCAAAAATGGGTAATAAATAATGCTACAGAGTTTATAATATCATAAATACTAAGGAGTAGTATATAAACCCTCTAATTGTTTCTTTAATTTCTGGAGCCTTTCCATTTTCCTTCCTGTTATTCTCATTGTTTTATCAGCCTCTTTCTTTCTTTCTTTCTTTTTTTTTTTTTTTTTATTTCCAAGAATAATTTTCCTTCTAGACTTTTCTCAGGCTTTTTATAGAAGAAATAAATGTTAGAAATGGGGAAAGAGGCAGTTTGATACAAATACTAATCTCAGATACTAATGAATTAGAATAATTGCATTGTTTATTCTATGGCTTAACCCAAAGTATTCAATATAATATTTTCAAAAATAATTTACAGCATTAAAACCAGTGCAAGTCTATAAAAGACTAAGTTATTTATTCAGACTAATAAAATGTAAGCTTGGTGGAAATTATCATCTAATGATTATTATAAGAGTTCTGAGGAAAGTATTGCCTATTTTAAAATTTGGGACAGGCAGGCAGAATTTTGCTATTAAAAGCATGATATTAAAGCATTTTACTCTTAATGAATTTATTTCCTGAGATGTCTCTGTGCACCAATTTAGTCTGAGTATGTTTCTTTAATTCATCTATTAGTAGAATGATATGATAGTGCATTTTATAAATTTGATATAGATTAAAAAACTATCTGAAATGTGATGAATTTAGCACTTGCTTATATATAGGAAATGAGCTGGACTGGATTTTAACTTCAGTTATTTTGATTAGCTAGAAGGAAAGAGATGAGAGAATGAGCAGGAACAATTACACAAGCTGAATGATAAGCTATAGGAATGACATTTTCTTAATTGATGTGTTATGAAATGATGATTTGAAATTTCAAGCCTTTGGTAAACTAAGTGGGGATCCAAAGAAAGATAAAGAACATCAATTGGGAGGTGGCTTAGTGATACTTCATTGACTGTAGAGCAATTCTATGATTGGAACTGCAACTCTGTAATTTGCGGTTTTACCCTCTATTGATGCCATGTATCAGAATTGGGGGCCATAAGCTATCGGGAACTTAAGATTGTTAAAGTTTTAGCAGGCTATTGAAATCTTGCTATGAATGATTGGACTGCTAACTACAAGGTTGGCAGTTCAAATACACCAGCCACTCCCCAGAAACTCTATGTTGTTGTTGTTAAATGCTGTTGAGTCTGTCCCAATTCATAGTGACCACGTATAGGGTTTCCAAGGAGCAGCTGGTAGGTTTGCACTGCCAACCTTGTAGTTTGAAGTCCAGTGCTGACCTTACAGTGCCACATCAGGAGTCCTACAGCCCCTGTACAGGATTGCTATGAGTCGGAATTGATTCAGAGGCACTTAACAACAATAACACGAATGATTGACTTAGTTATTTAATAAAGACTTATTTGGAGTAATTGGGATGCACAGGGACAATTCAGAGATAGTTCCCAGGGCCACAAAGAAATTCTTTTGGCAGGTGTGGGAAGAAGATACTCTTTGTTTCTGGTCCCTGCAGAAGCAGTGATAATGCATCTATTGTGCTATCATTGTTAAAATGTTATTAAATAGTTTCTAGTTTATCTTTTATAGTTCTTCTTTTTGCTGCTGTGTGTCTCCCTGTTTTTTTCTCTCTACAACAATAAAGGCAACAAAACAGAACCAAGATTGCTTTCAAGGAATCTGTGTCACGGTGACTAGATCCTAAGATATACTTGCTGAAATCTGTTTTCTTCCCATCCTTGTACAAATATTTTAATGACTGAGATGGGGATCTTATACACACACACACACACACACACATATATACAGTTACATTATTTACAAATATTTTAAAACTTTAATCCAGAGCCTATGTTAAATGCATCTTTAAAATATCTTTCTCAAGTTTTGTGTTTTCTTATAGCTAACTGTCCACAATTTTAGTTCAAGGTCTCTACCCATAGCACAGCAGAGAGTTGAATATTAGACAGAGTTGCAACATCTTAGATCCTTATTCCTTTAAAAATGACTTGTTCGTTTTCCTCAGGTACCCATTCCCAAATGACAAATCAAAGAGACTGATGATTCAATGCATGCAGTAGCTAAATAGAAAACTTAAAGCTCCGGAATAGGCCATCTCCAGAACAATTCAGTTGTAGGTGAGGCAGCAAGGTTATTCACTTGAGTACTTTAAAATGCAGAAGTGGCTTCAACCACAACAGAGGCATGTGCAGTATATTAATTTGTCTCCCAAAATGTTTTACTGCTGATAGGAAAACAGTGCTTCTATCCCAAAGGCTTTGTAAAAATTAGGAGACCGTATGACTCTCTTGGGATGCTTCAGCCACAGCAATCTTAAAGATTGCAGGTATGCTTTAATTCTGTCCTGTCAGCAAGTGGCCATATGTGCATATGCTTTTGATTAGCTGGGCCACAGGGATGTGCTGTGCTTGTGTTATGGTCCACCACCATCTATCGCCTGCTTCCCGAAAAGCTTTCTGAAAAGCTTATTTGAGGGAATTCTACATTCACAGTCTTCAGACAATATCTGCTGCCACATCAGTTTAGAAGCCTCTAAGGCTTCTTCAGTTTTTCTGCAATTTTCCCTTCATGCCAAATTCTGATGGTTTGAAACTAGTCAGACTTTCTTTAGAAATATCGAAAGAAGAGATTTCAGTCCCAGCTGGTCCCCTGGACCTAGCTTTCACCTTGGAGATTTAGTACCTTCATCTACAAAGTATGAAGTCCATCCCTTAATAAAAATGAAGCATGTCAATTTCTGAAGGAATACAGCTATGTAACAGAGAATGGTGATAAACCATTTTACAGTCAACAGAGATGGTTGTGTTTCAGAAAGTTTCTGAAGATGCTAATGAATCCTAACAACTAGCCTTTACTAATGGAGTTCTGGTATAACACTGTAGGATAAGCACTGGACCACAAGGCCATTTGAAATGAAAGGTGGATGGTTCAAACTCACCACTTGCTCCTTTGTAACCCTATACAGGGTTGCTTTGATTCAAAACAAACTTGATGGCACTTAACAACAACAAGCCTTTGTTGAACACTTAATATGTGAAGAGCGCTGTGTTCAATCCATTTTTACCTTATCTTGATTCCTCAAGACAATTATCTGAGGACGAATTATAATTTACCCCATTGTTCAGTGAAGGCTGTGGGTTTTAGAGAGTTGAATAATGTTTCGAAGTCACATACCACTTTAGTACCTAGGGTAGTTTGGTTTCCACTATCAACCACTTAATCATAGAGCCATTTTCTTTTTATCACATTGAAAAAGTTATATGCAACATGGGAGAGAAATAAAAACCTCCACATTTGGTCTAATTTGTTGCCTGGGGCTCATTAAATACTCTTTTGTCTGTTGTGTTGGCTGAGAGAACAATGTTAGGGTTTGCATTTTGCTCATTAACTGCAATCACATTTTTCCAAATTACAGGCATAAACAATGTTATTGTTGCTCTAAAATGTTCAAGGGGAAAAAAAAGTTCAAGAAGACAAAGAATAAAGCAGGACAAACAAACTGCAGAAAATTAATCCCAAATTTAATTGAAACTACCCTTTTCCATTATTCTCTGAAAGGGTGTTCATATATTGATTTTATAGATTTTATTATGGGTAGGAATGAAAGAATACTATTTTCATAAAAGCATCACTGATTTTCAAGTTGAATGTTTACATTATTAAGCTAAATGAGCAATTGGTGTCGGAGTTTTTAAAAGATATATTTATGCATTTTTAATACGGTATTTTCTTTTTGTAATTGTTTTAATATTCCATTTAGAAATTACAGAGAGTTCTCAGTAGATGCTTTTTCAGAAATAATATGCTTTATTAATATGGGCAAAAGATAATTGTTTATAAAATAAGTGTTACTTTAACAAACTTTATGTTGACTCTTTTTCAAAATCATAATATGAGGTATTCTTACCTTTTAATTCAGAAGCAATTACTATCAACAACATCATGGGGAAAACATTTACTGTCATCTTTTTGTTTCAAGGTGTTTGCTTAGTGGATAATAATAAATATATACTACCAAATGGTATAGCTTCCCTAATCTTTTCAGTGCTGCCGTTGTTACTATAGAGTAATCCAACTGATTTCTGTATGTTGATCTTATACCCCACCACTTTGTTGAATCTTCCAATGAAGTCTAGTAGCTTTTTGCCGAGTCTTGGGGGTTTTCTATGTATAGGATTGTATCATCTGCAAATAGAGAGAGATTTTCTGTTTTCTTTTTTTTTTTGCTAGTTTGGATACCTTTCATTTTCCTGTCTTGCCGTATAGCTCTGGCTAAGACTTCCAGCACAATATTGAATAGGAGTGGTGACA